CGCGGTCTCGACTTTGTATACGCATACTTAGACGACTGCCTCATTGCCAGTCCAGACAAGGAAACTCACCTTAGGCACTTGGACTTGGCATTTGACAGGTTACGCCAACATGGTGTTACCATTAATATTCAAAAATGTCAAATCGGTGTTGACTCACTCGACTTTCTGGGTCACACTATTGACCGCAAGGGCATTCGCCCACTGGCTACTAAGGTCGATGCTATACTGAACTTTCCAGAGCCACAGACTGTGAAAAGTCTCCGCACTTTTAACGGCTTGGTAAGTTATTATCGACGCTTTATTCCCAACTGTGCCTCTTTGATTCAGCCATTGACAGACCTTCTTCGAGGAAATAACAAGTCCATAGAACTTGACGCGTCTGCTCGAAATGCCTTTACCCAGGTTAAAAAGGCTATTGCGAATGCCACACTTCTGATGTATCAGGATCCAACGGCACCGTTGAGTATCTCGGTTGATGCATCAAACACTACAATTGGCGCAGTTCTACAACAGCTAGTTAACAAAGAGTGGCAATCACTCGCCTTTTTCTCCAGGCGCCTTCAATTAGCTGAAACGAAGTACAGCACATTCGGCAGAGAACTTCTGGCTATGTACTGTGCTATACGTCATTTTCGACATTCAGTAGAGGGTCGTGAATTCCTAATTTTTACCGATCACAAACCTCTGACGTACTCTCTGAACTCACCTTCAGATAAGTATTCACCCAGGGAATCACGACAACTGGATTACGTTTCACAGTTTACATCAGATATTCGTCATGTATCCGGAGTAAACAACCCTGTGGCAGATGCCTTGTCTCGCGTTTGTTCCCTCACCCATATCGACGGCATAGACCTTGTAAAACTGGCTCGTCTTCAAAAAGAAGATACTGAGCTTTAACATGAGTTGTCGAAAACAACTCTACAATTAGCTGAGAAACCCTTAGGTATGGGAAGAGATACTATTCTATGCGACATTTCCACGAGTACTCCTCACCCCATCGTGCCTAAAAGTTGTCGCCGTAACGTCTTCAATACGTTGCATGGCTTATCTCACCCAGGTATTCGAACTACTGTCAAGCTCGTAAATAGCCAGTTTTGTTGGCCTGGCATTAATAAAGAAGTAAGGGAATGGGCACATACGTGCTTAGCTTGTCAAAAGTGCAAGGTAATAAGACACACCAAAAGCCCACTCGGCACCTTTCTTCTCACTGACGCTCGTTTTGAACACGTCCATATAGATTTGGTTGGACCCCTTCCTGAATCCCATGGATATACCTATATTTTAACTTGCATCAATCGATTCACACGATGGTCGGAAGCAGTACCCATCAAGGACGTATCTGCTGAAACAGTCGCACGCGTCTTTGTAGAAAGATGGATCGCTAACTTTGGATGCCCATGTTCCATAACAACTGATCGCGGGCGGCAATTCAAAAGTGGCTTATTCTTCACCCTGACTAAAATCATAGGTTGCATGCGTTTTCGAACAACAGCCTACCATCCTTAAGCTAATGGTATGGTAGAACGTCTACATAGACAGTTGAAAGCTGGTCCGTTAGCTGCAAACAACACCCATCGGACTGAATCCCTTCCGTTAGTTCTCCTAGGGATACGAAACACCCTGAAAACCGATGCTGGTTGTACACCTGATATCTATGGTCGGCCTGCGAAATTTCGGGCTACCTATATCCACGCTGAAAATTCCATACTTGTGACAAAAAATACGGTGTGGAATCAAGCTGTAATCAAAAATATAAATATAAAATATATGGCGCCGAGCTAGTATATGGCACGACGCTACGACTGCCTGGTGAGTTTGTTTCTCCCTCGAGCATCCCACCAGCGGTAGGTCACGCTTCATACGTCAGTAGGCTTACAAACGCAATGCGTTCAGTTAAACCTGCTCCCCTTCGTCCACAGTCCATTGATGTTTTTGTTCACCCGTGTTTAGAAGCTTCTTCACATGTATTTGTTCGTCGCGACTCTGTGCGCAGACCTCTGGAACCTCCATACGACGGACCTTATAAAGTAATTAAACGTTCGGACAAATTCTTTGTCTTGGACAAAATAGGCCGCGAGGACACCGTCAGCATTGACCGTCTGAAACCGGCTTACTTGGAGGGTAATCCTATTAGCACAGAGCTCAACGTACCCCATAATCCACAAGTAACCGAAGATCGTTTAGACCTCGACGAAGTCACTGGCACAGCTACAGCTACCGAATCTTCTGTCGAGCCCCCCAAGAAAACCCGTTCTGGACATACCGTAAGGTTTCCAGATTATCTTCACACTCATTTAACATAACGAAGTCGTGTGATTCACCCAACTCATTCGTTTGTGGTACTAACTATTTTTTTAGACGTATCAATTTTTTTATATACAGTATTACTAAACACAAGTACATGTAACATGCACAAAAAAAATAATTAGATGTATTTTTTTCGATGTTCTGAACTTAGCACTATTTTACTGTATAGTAAATGCACATCATTTTTTAAACAGAAAAGCTGATTTGGGACATTTTCCTCGACATGGTTCCTAGCGTTCTTGTTTTCTTTTCCAGGTGCGACAGGCACTGGACAGGAAACAAACGAAGCACGGGATCCAACGAACAACTTCAAGGAAGCTATGTACAAACACCCTATTAGCATAGGCAGACAAAACTGTAGGCATCCCGCCAAGCCGCTCGGAAGATTTTTTTCACCCACAAGGGGGCCATCGAGTTTCTTCTACTTCCGGCTGGTTTTGTCTTAGGGTCCCCCACCACCCCACTAGGGGGGGAGTGAGCTGTAGCTAAAAATAATTCCCCAAAATTATTGACCTCAGCAATCAATCATTGGATGCTGACCGCCACTGTTTAGGTCGACTTGTTTAGCTGAAGGCTTCCGGTCAAGCATCCCCACCATTTGGTACCCCGTCTTGACACGTGCACGATCACTAGCCAGCTAAGCGTTCGTCTGACGGCTTGTTTTGGTCCCGAAATATATCACGTAGTTTGGACGATCAAATATTGGCTTTTGCTTTGTTATTGGTACGCGAGAATTAATAAGTTAGAAGTTGCTGTACAAGAGATTCGGTCAACCTCTAAACTATCTACTCACTGCTTTCATCAGACGCTTAGCTTATTATCAACTGTCATATTATTATATACTATACCACTTATCTAATAGGAATAAACTTCCCCTGGCAAGTTTCCACTCTGCTGCTTTCTTTTTCAGACCCTCAACCCACAACTTTTGTTGCGGGTTCCTCAAGATCCTGCAAAGCGCGGTAGCTTTTATTACTGAAACGAATCAACCCTAGTTGGTTGTGATATCAGAGTAATATGGGCACTAAAGAAGCTGGCCAAGTCATTTGAACAGTCAGTGAAACTATTCCTTTGTTAGGGAGGACTAAAACACATGGCGGGCAATATAACTTTCAAGGGACGAGAGCCTGGCTTTTGCAGTGCGGTTCCACTTTGTGTCTTTATAATCTGTTCATACACCTTGGAGCAGCCATAAGTGTAATATTCTTCGCCCACTAGTTAGGAACAGCGCAGCCACTAAGTTAGGTGGGTCAGGCTGAAGAGTCAGCAGGTAATGTGACCAAGGCTCGGGTTTGGCATGATAGGTGTCGACACAGAAGACTTGGACTTTAATCCTAGTCGCACCTGGCTTGAAGCGAGCTTGAAGTCCTTGAAGCAGAGTATCACACTGATCTCCTGGGACGGCATGACAGAGGAGGTGGTGTGAAGAGAAGGAAAGAGCTTCTGAGCAGTCGAGGAGCCAGCTTAGAGAGAGAAATATACGTGGTCTTCAGTAACTTTTAGCTAGTTGATGTGTCAGAGGCTGGCCGTGATCATTTAGTTATCATTCAGAGCATACGGGAAAAATATCACTTGGTATTTCAGTTTCTAAAAATAGAGATTTTTAGCTCAGGTGGATTATTTTGTTGCGTTCATGTTTTCTGAGCTGGGTGATTCATCTAAGAAGCCTTTACTCTTTTTTTGGACATCATATTGAAGTTTGCGCCAAGTTCGGCTTATATAAGTAAGATCAAAACTTCTCAAATAAACCACCTATCTCAGAGAACAACACACATAAGTAGCCAGTTCTCGTTCCTACTATGAGCCTTTGCTGGGTAATTTTGACTGCCTCACCTCTGAATAACTACAAGAAATTCCTCATCTGAGCTGTTAGTGTCATTGAAGGTGTGCATTTCCACGCATTTTATCGTTCAATACATACATCTGGTATTTTGTGGTATCGTTCGTGAAACATTCCTCAGAATACCGTTGCCAGCAGACAAACTACATAATAGTGCATTTCTGAACGATAAGACTCTTATTTGGACAACGATAGTGAAAATGCCTTTCAAGTCTGAGGTGATTCGGCATGGTGGGTTCAGGTCTATTTAGCAGCGTCTTTCGCTAAACTGTTAGGTGTTTCAAAAGATGAAGGGATGCTTACGTTTACTCAGAGTACGAGGGATACCAACGCAAGTTCCTATCCCCCAACTCCTGTAGTATTTGTTTGGTTTAGACCAAAGACCATATCTAGGATAATAACACTAAGGTGTGCTGGGTGGTGTGGAAGCTTGACCAAGAGCCATCAGCTTAACAAGTTGACTTGAATGGCGGCGGTCAGCATCCAGTTTTGGGTGACGAATGATGCAGCCGTATAATGTTGAGCAATTATTTACCCCATGGTGTCATAGCTGAAGAACTGTTACCGTTGATGAGAATTAAATTAACCCGACTGTGAAGGAAAAAATCAGCAGTTTCACTTAATTACGGTCAGTGAAAAGGGAAACGAAGGCCTAAATTTTGTTACCTTCCACATTTCGATTTTCTTCGAATGTTTTATTGGCTTCATAACAATTATTAGTATATGTTTTATAAAAACTGCTGAGAAATAGCTAAATTTCTACGAAGGAAACTGTAATAATCATCTATAATGACTCTTTGGCACCGTACCTCATTTTTGAAGTATATTGTTTTAATGCGTCAAAGTTTTGTCCTACGGGTCAACTGCTGTTTTCAAAGGAGAAATACGTCACTGCTAATCAGGAAGAAGTAACACGGATTGGATCTTGTGATGAATAGTTTTGTCTGACGCAGTAAACCTCAAAAAATGTTGCACAATCAAAATGGTCAAAGTGCGTATGATCGTCAACCTTTTCAACCGGACAAACAATTTGGATATCCTGGAGTTAATGCTCCAGCTGGGCAGTACGCTCACGATAGTACTAACTCGAATATGAACGATGCTCACGCACAGGGGCATCCGAATAATAATAATTTTCAATCACCACCGAACCATTATCCAGGATCTCAAAACCCCCCACAACCACAGCATACAAACTATCCTGGTCCACCTATGCACAATGCGAATCAGGCTCCGCTTCCACCGATGCAACACTCGAGTCAGCCTCCGCTTCCACCAATGCAACACGCAGGCCAACCTACATTTCCACCAATGCAAAACACCAGTCAACCTCCATTTCCACCAATGCAAAATACCAGTCAACCTTCATTTCCACCAATGCAAAATACCAGTCAACCTCCATTTCCACCAATGCAAAATACCAGTCAACCTCCATTTCCACCAATGCAAAACACCAGTCAACCTCCATTTCCACCAATGCAAAACACCAGTCAACCTCTTTTTCCACCAATGCCTCCTGGACCTGGTGGAGTAGGACCACCTAGCTACCCACAAGCTCAACCTGGAGGGCGTTTTTCAACGCCAAACAATGCAAGTGGACAACCACATCCTATGCAGCCTCAACAACCTTATCAAAATGGTCCAATTTCTAGACAGCCACAATTTTCTCAAAATGTTAATGCGGATGGTCTCCCTAGTGCTGTTGAGGTAAGTAGATAATGTTTTAAATTTATCAGAGTTTATAGTTAGATTGAATTTCTAGAGCAATTCGTTATAACATAGAGATATTTGGTTCAAATTGACTCATGTGGTAGCGGAATTCTTCGTCGCCTAAAGTAGCAGCTGTCTAGATGTTTTGTGACATTTTCCCCAAAAGGTATTGTACATCAGAGATCTTTCTTTCCATGTAAATCCGTTGTCTGTTAGATCCTCCTCAGAAAATGTTGGGTGTCACTGACTAATGCCGATAAATTTTATGGTATGTAGACGTTATACTGTTAGAAGCCTAAGTAGGACGAGCTTATCGCTAGCACTTGGTAGTATTAGTGTGACAGGGGACTTTTGGGTTCCATATTACGTAAGTTTATTTAACTTAGCATCCGGTAATACAGTATTAATAACTGGATGATGTTTCGAGCACAATTTACTACTACCCATAATCATATCAATTTATTCATATGGCTTCGTAATTTACTTTATATATATATATATATATCTTCTCTTCCCCTTGTCATTCGTTGTATTTAATCGATTCCACATGTTTGGTGTTGATTCGGTGATTAACTTCTCTTCCTCTACCTAACTAGGTCACTTTTAAATACTTTCATCCTGTCCCAAGTTATTGTGTGAATGTATTTCACTGGCTGAGTTGCTTTCTAAATCTTTCTAGGTTTAACTAAATTTTTATGTTCTGAGTCTTATTGCTCCCTATCCACTAGTGTGACTTATAGTGTAATTGACCTCAAAGTCATTACACCATAGTATTTGATAAATTATATTATTTTCATTAATTAGATCTATCGGGTCCTTGAACTGACAAAGCTTGTCGCTAAGTAAATTGGTTTGTTATAGTTGGTTTGAATGCCACCGTACCTAATTCCAATCTCAGTAAGAATCCCTGATATTCCTTTTTCATACAGCAGTACTATAGAAGCTTTGAATTCCATATTTTGCTTGTTTTTATCATGCTGTGGGCTTTCATACATTTTTGGACCTGGCCACTGAGAGTGGAAGACATGAAAAGACTAGCTGCCTTTGATCATAGGTGCCTGCGTTCTATTTCCCGTGTAAAGTGGCATAATAAGGTGAGCAACATGGAGGTTAGGCGTAGAGTTCTAGGTAAACAGGGGAAATCAATTGACGAAGTCGTGAAGCTACATCGACTGAGATGGTTAGGACATGTGTTACGTATGCCAAGCCATCGCCTCCCTCGACGAGCAATGTTAGCGGATATAGGGTCAGACTGGAAAAAAGCTAGCGGCGGTCAAACAAAAACTTGGCATCAGTCAATGAAATCCACAACAGTTGGTCTTAGCCACGTAGGAAGGTGTAGACTTCCAGGCTGGGGTCCTCGGGACGGCAAAAATCTATGGTTGGAAACAATTGGTGACATGGCTCAAAATCGTTCTCAGTGGCGCAGATGCATCCACTCCCTGTGACTTATGATCTTCAATGAAATTGTTTTGTATTTCTTTATTACTCCTTTGTCTCACACCTCTGCTCACTGTTTCTATTATGCTTTCCTTGTACTTTCTTCTCTTGCTTCGCGTGCTACACGGAGTGTGGCGACTTGAACTTCCGTACATTTGTCTGTCTGTCTGGATTCAACATAGAACTTGGCACCGAAGTGCAGCAGTTCGAGTTGCCACGTTCCAAATAGCACACAGAGGTAGACAAGAAGATGAGTTAAGAGAATTAACAGAGTTTGACAAATATAAGAGTGAAACAGAATGGGTAATGGTAGAAAGGAATATGAAAGATTACAGAGATTGAATACATCTGCGCCATTGACAACGATTTTGAGCCATATCACCTATTGTCTCCAGCCATTGATTCCTAGAGTCCCGAGGGCCCCAACCCGGGAGTCTGCATCTCCCTACCTGACTCAGTTTAACTGTCAAGGATTTCATGGATTGATGCCATGTTTTTGTTTGGCCACCACTGGCTCTTTTCCAACCTGAACCTATATCAGCTAACAATGCCCGTCGGGGGAGGCGGTGGTTAGGCATGCGCAGCACGTGACCTAGCCATCTTAGTCTAAGTAACTTTATAGCCTCGTCGATTGATTTTCCCTCTTTGCCCAACACTCTACGCCTAACGTCAACATTACTTATCTTGTGAAACCACCTAACGTGAGACAGAGATCGCAGACATCTATGATCGAAAGCAGTCAACCTTTTCATGTCTTCAGCGCGTATTGGCCATGTTTCAGAGCCATAGAGAAGGACGGAGCGAACTGATGAGCAGTACACACGTCCCTTGGTTGATAACCGGATGTCACGCCTACGCCAGAGATGGTGTAAGTCAGCGAAAGCAGCTCGAGCTTTTCGGATCCGTGCTGAGATTTCATCGCCAATCAGTCCGTTGGTGCTAATACAACTTCCCAAGTAGGTGAAGTGTTCAACATGTTCTATCACTTCACTCCCTATCACTAAGTTAGGGGTTGACGTGGTCCGGTCCTGTAGCAGCATCTTACATTTTGCAGGGGCGAATCGCATGCCAAACATACGAAGATTGCTGCTCAAGGTGTTCAGAAGACTCTGCATTTTGTCAGCATCCTCCCCTAACAGGACTATGTCATCTGCATATTCTAAGTCTATTAGATTATTCCCTGGTAACAAGTCGATTCCTAAGTCACTACGTTCAGTTAAGGATACTTCCATCAGCATATCTATGATGAAGTTAAACAGAAATGGGGAAAGTGGACATCCCTGTCGGACACCACTGGTTGTTACTAATTCAGATGACAATTCCCCATAAGCCCTTACACGACTACGTGAGTTTGAATAGAGTGCCTTAATTAGTGCATTTGTGCATTTGTGCAAAGTTCTATGTCGAAAACAGACAGACAGACTTCACGTTCCCCATTGGAACATAGGGCTTCAAGCTAGTGGCTTGAAGTTTCTGTAGCAGTGTTCATTTTACAGGATGGGGCTGCTAGCCTCATGCCCAACCTTTCCTCCTTACCAGAATTATTTCTGGCTTAGCGAGGTAAAGGATGTGCGTCGGCCGGGGATTGAACCCCAGACCATGTGCATGGTCGGCAAGCGTCCTAACGGCTATGCCAACGAGGCACGGATAAATTCTGGTGAGGTACTATTCACCCAGTAATGTCTTCTTTATTGTTTAAATTAACGCTCTTACCGGACACATGAAAAATTGTGATAAACAACAAAGTGGAGGGAAAAAGAATGATATGTGAAATAAATTATGAAGCCATGTGAATAATTCTACGTGATTATGGGCAGCAGACAATTGTGCCCGAAACGTCACCCAGTTATTAGTACTGTATCGAATAAACTTATCCAGCATGGAATTATTGTCACAGTGCACGGATTCTACTCTTATGCTGACTTTTGAGTTCTTAGGCTGAATGGGGTAGGGAAGTTCGGGCTTCTGATGCCACTTTATCTTCCTGTTTTAAACAGTATTGTTTTAAACAATATTGCTCCCTGCAAGTTATTTTGTCTTGAATATTGATGTGGATCTCAATTTAAGTGTCTTTTAACGAGGACCTGTGCTATAACTCCGTTGTCAATTTGTTATAACTGAATTGAACTGAATAAAACCGTGTCGCTAATTTGTTATGTCTGAGCCTCTTAATTACTATAACGGTAATGAACTCGACTGGTACGCGCTAATACGTTTATCTCTCCGTTGCACCTTCCGATTCACTGAGCCAAGCAAATATCAAAAGACAAAGGTTGGCTGGTCTGTGACTGTAAGATATTGTATTATTGTACTATACTATATAGTTTGAGAAACAACACATGATATTTATACATTTTCTTTACCATAATAAAGTTGACTCACAACTGTGGGTGGGAATGGACTGTTCCTAATTCCTAGAAATGTCTATTCTGATTGGTTGGTGATCCGACGAAGGCCGAGGTGAGACAAAGGACGATGAGTTGATCCCACACACTAAGTGACAATATGCGTGAGAAATAATACATTCACATAGTAACTCCATGACAGGATAAATCACACAATCCGTGAGATAAGTGAGAGTAGACTTGACTCATAAATCATGAAGACTGGTGTTTATTGGAAAATTCTGGAGTTGTCATGTGCAGATATAAAAGAGACTGAATACTCTTCAGGTGATTGTGATCATACTGATATTGTCAATAATATTTTTTTATATTTTTGATTACAGCTTGATCCCACACCGTATTTTTGGTACAAGTATGGAATTTTCAGCATGGATATCGGTAGCCCAAATTTTGCAGGCCGACCATAGATATCAGGTGTGCGTCGGCAGAGGATCGAACCTCGGACCATGTGCATGGTTGGCGAGAGTCCTATCCACTGTGCCACCGACGCACACTAACCACTACCACTTTTATTCATCTTGGAATTCTGTCATTGTGATGACAGAGAAAAAGACACCTGCGTCGACTGGCTTCACAGCCTCGTTTTGTTTTCACCCAACACTAATATTAATTGTAAATATCTTTATTTAATAATTTACACAAGGGCTATAATAAGGGGTAACCACGTTACCAACTGTGAAATGACCGCTTATCGGACGACTACTTTATTAACCAGCGAAATAGTACAGATAGTGCATTTAAGAACATAGGTATACCAAGTTACTCGCATAAGCATTTATAATGTCGAATCTCATTAACCATCTTGAGAATCATAATTATCCTAATTAAGAATTTCCGTATACGTCTGGTGATAACAACTATACGCCACAGTCGATATAAGTGCGTTCCTACATTGAAAAATGTTCAAGCAAACGACCACTAGTACCGACAAGATTGTACCTGGAAAATTCGAAAACCTTAAACTGTACGCGCACATATATACGTATACATATGTCAATGCGAAAACAAGAAGTAGCAAACTCACTATGTGTTACAATGTATGCCTTTCGGTACTTAATTCTGATCTTATCTTGATTATAACTCGACATTTCTTTATCATGATCGTTTATTGTAGGAGGTTCAGATAATAAAGGACAATAGGCTCTTGTAGGC